TCCCTACAATCTAAAGCTTCCTTCATGCAGAATGGAAAGGTAACCTAACGGAAGAGGACCGTGTCTGCGTGAGTGGCCAGAAGCAGGCTTTCGTTACTGACCTTAGAATTAAATCCTTTGCTTTCTCTGAAATGGGCACCTCTGGAGGAAATACCAATGTTTCTTTCCAGTTCATAACTTTCCTGTAAGTCTCCTGTGGTGTTTCTGAGCAGAAAGGTGGATACCCTGCACAAACAAATAAAAAAAATTAACAAGCTTTTCCCAAAAGAGGAAAGTGACCTGGGCCTCTGCTTTTGCCACTACAGCTCCCAAATCGAACAAGTAGCACTAGTCAAAAGTTTTCTCTTTTTCTTCTTTTCTCTTTCTCTTCTATATTTTCCTAATATTAAAGGATATTTTGCTACTTACAAGTAACGAGACTGAAACTCAAAAACACTTAATAGTGAACAGTTATTCACTGAAACCACTTACTGAGACATCATCTCTTGCTGTCTTCTTGGAAAGGTGGGAGGACTTCAGAGTTTTCTGGAAGCTGAATTTGGGGCTTCCTTCAGGTAGGACCGAATGAAATTCTGGTACCTCCACTATGCAGGGGATCAGACTCTGAACTAATGGACCCTGTTACTTTTGAACCCTTTGAATGATTCTTAAGTTGGGGTCTTTAACATACCTATTAGCATTTCATACATAATCACTCCCAAAGACCACCAGTCGCACAGCTTGTTGTACCCAGTCTGCATAAATACTTCTGGTGCAATATAGTCTGGGGTTCCAACAGTAGAATATGCCTGGAAAAAAAGAATAAACTCTTTAAAAGATAAATAGTACATTTTTACACTTTGCAAAACCTTTTCTGTCGGGTTCACAGATAGGATCTTGTTATCTGGATGGACAAGAATGCTTAATTTGAGAATTCACAAGTCCCAAGAACATTATTCTTTTACATGAGTAAGCACAGAAAACCAGACAAGTAAATGGAAATCATCCTCCTAAACGTGATGAAATCACAGAATATTCCCACTGCAATATCAGAAGGTCATCTTCGCTAAAGTTTCAGGTAGCTGCATTACTAAAATACCCAAGAAGTTCTGTTGTTGTTGTTTTTTAAAAAAGGGATAACCAGTGGTAGATTCCCATGTGTGACACTCGTGATACACTAGCTGTTCCATGTATTACCTTGTCTTTACTGCAAAATTATTTCAGCTCTTATTGTGCCCAGGCTCCATCCTTTTAACCTTTTAGATGTGCAACCTAGATGATTCCGGCTAATGACTAAATCTTGAGCTATTTGGGAATTTCACTATACTGGTGGAAAATTTTGCAGGGGGGTGGTGGGGGATGGACGAGGTGTGTCAACAAACCAAAAACCAACAGAAAACCACAAAACCAAAAAAGTCCACCAAAAGTAGTTTTGGCAGAAAAATGTTTTACTTTCATTTGTCTGACCAGAAACAAAATACTTCATTTTATTGAACAGAGCACAGACCAGTTTTGAACCGATGGAAAACCAAGAATAGGGCTCCTTTTCAAATAGCATTGATACAAGTTGTCATTTTGGCCTTTTAATCTCTCTGTTGGACTGTCTCATGAGTCATCTAGCTTCACCACACAGTTCTGCCACACCATCTTTACTGACCTGGAGATGTAGTCTTTTCAGGAATCTAACTCCAAGCAGGAGTAAGGGCATGAAATACAGCTCTTATGAGACAGCATGATTGCAATGTAATCTCATTACATCTCATGAGGAAAGAAAAAAGCACCCAAAAGCTTTTTGGGAATACTGCAGCATATCGCTTTTTAAACAAGAGCATACAAAATAAAAAGTTCCACAATTTGAAGACTGAATTTTTTGTAACTGCTATTTAGTGAAAAATCATGAGCAGGGCTGAAATTCTGAGATCCCACGGCTGACAGCCTTTCCTTTGATTCAGTTAATGCCAGAGCTCCCTTTATTACTTGACCACTCGTCATTATAAACCCAGGCTGCAGCACTCCAGTGCCAATACCATCCACTGCCTTTCCATCATACTGCTGTTCAGCAGAACGACGAACAAGTTTTCCCCACAACTCTCTGAAAAAGAACCACGCAGCTATGCACCTTCTTGTGACACTGAACTGCAGGACTTAAACCCAGGCATTCACACACAGTGTCAATACCAGGTCAGTCTAAGAGACAAACACGAGATACAGCTTCACTAAGTGGTTGCCGACACTTAAGGTTAGTTAGTCCGGATGCTCATAAGGGAAACAAAGGCATAGAGAAGAGCAGGGTCTTGCTAGTCACAGCTCTGAAAACAGACAGACAAAGCAACCCTCATTTCTGAGCTATTCCACAACTAGAATCACTAGACCACTTTCTTTTGAGTTATTTGCAATTTTGGGAGCTTGAAGAGAGCGACATCTGTAACTGATGAAGGCCTTTCTGTTTTTTAAAAAACAGCATTAATGCGGAGTTTTTATTTAATATTTTCTGTCAATAGTTTAAAAGAAAAAAAAATTATACATAATTTTATTAACTCACCAGCTGTCGCCTGTTCTTCTTCCATGTTTCTGCTTTTCTCTTTGAGTTCATATTCTGAAATGCTAATTTACAAAATAGTTATTAGATAATAAATGCATTTGTGAGACTTAAAAGAAAAGATCGGTAACATTCTGGTTTATCTTTAGAATGCTTTAGTCTAGAAACAAATACTTGACTGTAACTGGAGATAGGAAAATGATAATGAACAACTACTGTCCAATTTGCAGCTGAAACTCATGTAAGTAGGACACACAATCAGCAATTCTAAATTAGAACTTGCTACAAGTTTTACAGATTGATCTGAGATTAGCTGCACTTATTGTTGCAGCTGGCAATGTATATTCAGATACGAGCGCTGGTTTTTCAAGCAAAAAGTGAAGAATCCAAGAATTGCAGAGGAATTTTACATTTATAGAATAAAACATTAATGTGGTTGTGTCACCAAGGCAGGTTGATGAACAATTACACTCTTAGGAAAAGCTTAATGAGATTGTCACTGACTTCAGTAAGTCGGCATATGAAACCCATGTCGATTCTGAAAGAGCGTTTCAGTAACTTCACTGTTATGAAAAATACATTAATATATAGATATATTACATTATCTGTATACAAATATGCAAAAATACATTAACACTGCAGAAGTCATAACTTCTTTCCTATGAAATGCTTCCATGTCCCAAGGAACATGCATTTCCAAGTTTTCCACTTAAATGCAGTCAGCCTGACCAATCTTGCTTATACCAGCAGAAATAAATTATGAAGTGGCATAGCTGCAGCTCAAAACTATAAGTGTTTAACTAGGACATCTTATACTTACAGAAGTCACTTGGTGGGTTGTGTGTAAGGTTCCTGTAGAACTCTGTTCTGTGAGCTTTCTTTAAACCTGTGCATAGCCCAAAATCAGACAGTTTTACATGACCCTAAAAAAAAGTCAGGGAAAATGAAAACTTAATTTAGAAAGGTAGTGCTTGAAAAAGAAAGTTTTAAATAACTGCACATGCCTTCTCAGGCCATGATGGACTTGCACAGGACTACCTAATCCAGGACAAGTAGGCAAATAACAACTGAAACTCAGTGTACTGCAAGAGTGTGTTTTCTCTCAAACAGGTTATTGCCACCCTGGGAATGGTTACATGCACAATTCTGCAACAGCTGAGAGCAGCTAGTTTGTCTTTTTGTTTTGAACTGGATACCACTAAGACTGAGAAAGCCTCAAGGACAAAACTCCTTTGTTTTGATGCTAACCTGGCTTTAATCAGGTTTCCAGACATAAGTGCTAGGCAGTCTACAGACTTGTGTATGATGCTTACTGGGTCCACTTCATGGCTCGCTATAGTCAAACAGAGATTGTTTTTGCTGGTGAGCAGGTAATAAAACAAATGAGATACCTGTAGGAATTGACCTGATTATTTAGCATTGTCTGAATGTTTCATGCTTTTATTCATCTTGAAGTAACTAAGTGTATCAGTTTTGAATGTGTATGTATATGACCATCTGGACACCTTAAGTGGGTCACTTAAAAGGCTTGCCTTAAAAGGGTTACAAAGCTTGCCAACAAAAAACAAGGGCAGTTTTGCTTTGTTTAAGTACATTGGTGTTCTGCAAGGAAAAGATAGTAACCATTTTCTGCCTTTACTCCAGCTAGTTTTAATCACTGGTGTGGCACCACTGGTTGCCACTGATTAGTACCACTATAAATGGCATTATCTGCAGACTGAGGCGTTTAAAGCACAGGCAGTTTACATGCACATTACATGCCTTGGCATCCAGCAGAAGGTTATCTGGTTTAATATCCCTGTGGATGAATCCCAGCTGGTGAATAGCATCTATGGCCAACACAGTTTCAGAAATGTAAAACTGTGTCTCCTCTTCTGATAAGGTGTCTTTCTTCATTAGTAAGGTCATCATGTCACCTAATCAAAGAGAAGAAAATACAGCTTAGAAATCAGAACATTATAATCACAAGACTAATTCTATGTGAAACCCCTGCAGAATCCAAATTTAACCTTGTAACTGGCTTTATAGCTACTAATTATAAAACTATTACTGCAAAGACCTACAAACCCAACATACTTTTTTAGTAAACTGGATGTAAAACTGTTGAAAATCCTAAATAGGAATTTTAATTGCATAGCCCAAGAAGATATAGTGAATTTTAACACATAATACATGTATTGCACAAATAAACTGTTTAAACAAGAGGGGTTTTTTTGTATCTACTGTTCGTAGTTTCAGCAGTAAAAAGCAGAACATTGGATTAGAATAATTATTTAATCCAAGTCTATTTTAACACTCCTTCATAACTTTTCTCCTTCCCCTAAAAATAAGGAATGGTTACATTACTGGGACTTCATTTAAAACACTGTTAAAATTTTTATTATCACAAATTACACAGCATGATTATTTCTAACATTTTATGAGGCTGACAACAAAAAGCTAAGGAAGAAGTACTTGAATCATCTAACATCACAACATACAGCTTACCTCCAGGTAAGAACTCCATGATCAGGTAAAGATTTCTTTTATCCTGAAAACTGTAAAACATTTTCACTACCCAGGCTCCATCCGCTTCAACCAAAATATCTCTTTCTGCTCGGATATGGGCCACCTAAATTTTTTTAAAAATTATTCTTATTAAAGGACAATTTAAATACTTCACCAAGGAATACCATATTATATTCCTAGTCCCACAATATGTTTTCATGCTCTTGTCACACTCATATTCTTCATAAGTTTTTTCCTAGAGCCTACAAAGTCCTCACAAAATACCCACCAGAACCCACAGAAGTCAACTCAGTGTTGAAAATAACTGTTCACACAACTTTGCAGAAGCAATCTTTAGAAACACAAAGCATAGCTTGTTAAGCTGTTTTTGTTTGCTGGAAAGAACTGACAAAGCTGGTGGAAAAGGGCAATTCCCTTTTTTACTATACCCTAAAATGAAATAGGAACATTCAAAAAAGTTACAGAGCTGACCATCACAGAGCTTTATATGGTAGCATCGCTACTGCAAGGTGCAACTACTGACAAAATTATTGGAAAAGGCCAGAACTGGTCTTAAAGAATGCAAGAACCAAGAGTTAAAATGGTAGATGCATTATGATTGCTGTCAGAAGTTACCAGATTTCTCATATATGTATACAACGAAATAAAGAGCTAATAGCTACTTCTATACAGATATCTCACAGTTTAAACTCGGCAAGATAAGCCTGGGGAACCTTCTCTGGCCAGAGTGACAATGTGTCCCAACTAATTACTCCCTGCAAAACCCAATTCCTTCATCGCTGTGAAGAGAGAAATGCCTGACTTACAGTGAACTACTGCCTCATTCCCAAACCCACATTGTACGCACTGCTGATGGTGCGTGAACCCCCTTCCAGGTTGGTACACGGAGGCTGCTCCTACGCAAGTACCTGGCAAACCTTACTTGAGCTGCACGGCAAGTGCCTCAGCCAAGTGGGAAAAGGACTGGGATGTGCTTCAGCCCTTACAGGTGACAGCAGGTAGCAGTGACCTCAGTGACCAGTGTTAAAGCAGTGTAAAAATGGTAAGGGTCTTGGGCTATTTAAGGCAGTGGGGAAAGGGAAGAGAAGATGGAGCCATTCCTCCAAGTGATGTGCATGACACTTGCCCAGCACTGATATGGCCACCACTGCTGCTGATGTTGGTCCTGGGCAAGTGAGTTTGGGATCGCCTGACCTTGCTCAGGATATTCCAGTCCCAGCTGAGGCTTTGAAAAATACATCCTGCCTCTTTTTGCCTCCTCCCACTCCTCTCTCTCCCCTCATGGATACACTGGAAAGTAAGAGTAATGGAGATTGGAGGAGGGGTGTGTGTTTCACTAGAACGTACCCTCATCCTGAAGGAAAATGGAAGTCATATGCATGGAAAAATGTTTCTTGACAGCTGTAAGATTTTCATTATTCATACACCAGAAAGCAACTTCTGGAGAGAAGATATGTACCACTATTCCAACTTCAAGGGCTATTTCTAATAAGCAGCAGAGTCTTCTCCATCTCTTCCCCAATTCTACTGGCCAGGAGCATCTCTACATGTACGTGTTCTTTTCAGAGGGTTTCACAGGGCAATGGGTTCTCTCTCTGTAGTAGGCACTCCAACTTTGTTTTATCTATCTCTATCTATTCTTGTTAGAAAATATTTCTTTCCACCCTCACCCCACTATATATGTAGCCATAAAATATAGTATTGAAACCTTATTTGAAAAACAGCCAGGATATCTCCCAGTGCTATCAGGGTTGGAAAAAAAAATAATCTTAGTCTTCTTGTATTTGTGACCTGTGTTGCTTTCCATTGAACAAATCAGGCAATGAAAATTACAGCAGATAGACATTCTCCAGGGAAGATGCCTGTCCCAAACTAAATGGAGAGCGTGAGCTCAGCCTCCTTGCCACCTCAGGTTATGAAATGGGGGCAGGGCTTCAACCAGAGGGCCACACACATCCTGGCTGCTGTACAGAACATGCTGCTCCTCTGGTTCCCTATATTTAGGGTGTGGGCTTGAGGAGACAAAAAGTCTGCACCAGGAGAAAAAAAATGAAGTACAAGTACCACTGCAGGGAAATGTAATACAAGAGCAAATGATGGGTAAGGTTTGGACTGGTAAGGAAGAGTCCTCTCTTTATCTGCCCTTTCGCTTGAGACATCCACACTTGATTGCTTTGCGGTGCTTATTTGCAGTGAATTGTTAACTAAAAAGTAAAAGCAAAAACCAAACCAAACTAACAAAAGTAGAGTAAAACAAACCAAGACCCTACTAAAAAGCTAAACAAAGCCAATGAACAATGTGACATCTGTCACTACCTAACCATCAAAAGAAAACATCAAATACTCTCAGTTTTTACTTTAGCACAATATTCCTTTTCAAGAAGCATTTTCCTTGAAAAGCAGTTTTGCAGATTAAGTACTATAAGGTCTACATTGATAAAGGAAGGGAGAAAGAAAAAAAAAAAATCTTTGTCACTAATCCAAACTGGTTGTAAATAAAACATTTTTTAAAATGCTGTTACATGAATTTATTTCCTAACTTCTATTTTTCTTCTGTACTGTAGTAGCAAGTCCATAAATGCTTTGGACTACTATACCATTATTTGGGCTTTCAAAGTGGAAAATATGACAAAATAGTATCTGCCACAAAGAACTTCAGCAATTTTCTAGACAGCATAAGTTTGAAATCTAGGGGACTTATACAACACAAACCTGCTCTTTCTCCAGCATATCTGCTTTTCTTAGTATCTTCATTGCATAAATATGACCTGTATCCTTCTTCTGAACGAGGCGTACCTATAATGAGAAATATAACCTGAATCAGTTTTCTCTGCATCAGAAACTAGACCCCAGGGTGGCATCTACTGGAAGGCTCAAAGTTGCTGGGCATGGAAGAGTCCTTTTGTTAAACATTTAAAAACACATGGGGAAAAAAAAAAAAGTATTTCTACACCATGTACAACACTAACAGTACTGACGAACAGATAGTTTGAAGTAGTCACTGTTTTAGGAAAAGTTAGCAGGCACAGTAAATTTTAGGTAGCTGTAAGATTGTGTATATTAAAATTCAGGAGCTGGTACAACTGTGATGTGATACAGGGCAGGGAGGATGTTTACGGAGAGGAGCTGTGCAACTGCAAAGCCACCATTTCAGCGGATCACATGGGCAACACCAGCTTGGGCCAGTATAGGAAGCAGTGGAAAACTAAAGGCCTTTCCAGGGGCCTTGACAGATCGATGCACGGAATTCATTACTGAACTTCTCACGCTTACTCAATTAGCTATTCTCACAATTACTCAAATACCTATTCTTCTGCAATAAAACTCCCCAACAGGAACTTTTTATTCTGTAATTAAAATGAAGCATTTTAATGTTCAATCCAATTTTAATACCCTGTTCAAGCAAGAATGCCACAAACCTCCCCAAATGCTCCTCTTCCTATAACTTTCAAAGATTCAAAGTCATCCAAGCCAAGCCTAGTCCTCTTCAGTCGCAGAAACTCTGTCTCTTTGCGAGCATGTTGTGACCTGCGCAGTTTTTTCTAAGGAGACACATACACAGAAATTTGTGAGTCATTTGACAGTAGAAAATCAAGATGTACGATCTCTCTTCCTGTCAAGTATCCTCACCCATTAGGATTACAGAAAAAACGTAAAAGGAGAAGTCTTTCTGGATTTCCCAAAGTATGATCCACAAGCACAATCTTGTATATAGAGGCCTCAGGCCCAATTTCACCTTTTTTTTTTTGTTGGTGGGGTGGGTTTTATTACATAGCTATAAAGAAACAGTAACAAAAAATCATGAAGAAAAAAACCATACTGGGTCAAAGAGAGTATATCAGTTTAAAGGCCTAAGTCACTAGCTGAGGCAAGGACTCTTGGTTTTGGACAGTGTGAAGGATCAATAAAAGCTGAAACTTGCACCCCACTGAAAAGAGCGATGACAGGCAGGAAGGAGCCCAACAGGCAGCACAGATCCAACTTACACTATCTATAGCAAAATCCATTTCGTTTATGGCAGACAAACACTTGTATATGAAAGAAAAATCTGTCCAAATCCTGTCATATATTTTGTTCTATAGAGTGTCTGTGGGATTCACCCTGAGCGAAGACAAACGCCAACCTACGCTCCCAAAGATGCCGAGATGATCTCAGAGACTGCATCCATCAGGCACCTGCCAGATTTTGTACTAGGATGACAGCATCATTTAAAGCCACAAGATGGCATTACGCACCCACACTCACTTTTCCCTCTTCCCAGAAGTTACACAGCCACACAAACTCAGAAATGACTGAGGCACCATTCCTTCTTATTTCCCTTGCTATCCTGAAGGCAGTACACATGGCCATGGTGTGATGGACCTCAGAAAAGCAACTTATTGACCAAAGTTCTGAGAGTTGCCAATCGGACAGAGATCCCTCCTCATCTGTATGTGAATGGAGCAAGGGTGTGCCCAGTTTATTGTTTAAATGAAGAAAAAAAAAAAAAACGTTCAGCATTTTGCTTTCTACCCACTTCTTCCAAGTGCATCTCACCCTTTTTTTTTTGCCAAATACAACAGCAAACAATTTTAATCTTTGAAAAGCATGGGATATACTTGCTGCAGCCATATATCTCATAAATCTCATAAGGACTAAGGGTGGCATGAAAAGCCTTAGCTATTCCAAGTACCATTCAAGCACATTCACAGCTTCCCTAATGAACAAATTATTTAGAGGGGCAACACTCATTTACAAAATAAAACTTAATGTCATGCCAGCTAATGTTTCTGTAAGTTCCTCAAATGCCCATCTGAAGTACTGTGACAAAAGCAAAGCAGTCTCTTCAAAGATTACTTCGGTATTTACCTCCTCATCTGCAAGGCCTTCCTCTTCCATAGCCACTTCTAGCTTCTTCTGCCTGTGAAGGGGAGAAACAGGAGATTGCTTTTTTAATTGTTTATTAAAAACAAACATAAGACTGCAGCAAGACAATGCCTTTACTTCACATATTCCAGACACCAAAGAATTTGCCTCAAATGGAAATTTGAAGACTTACTGGCCACTCCATCCATTTACTCATTTGTGACCAAAGTTGTTGAAAACGTGTAAGCAAATTTAAGCACATACTTACGTATTTGCAGAACTAGGCATTAAAGGTCCAAACATATAATCACCCTAAAGACTTCTATTTCTTCATATAATCTTGTTAAAGTAAGGCTGTTTTTATCAATTTGGATTACAAATCAGCATAAACATGGTGGGTTTGGTTTTTTTTTTTTGGTCACCATTTCTATCTCAGCTCTACCTCTAACACCTCAGCCAGCTCCAGATTTCGGGTCCCAGCCTTGCTGACCTCTGACACCTGGTCCTGCTCCCCTTACTCTTGCACCACCTAAGTCTACACCCCCCTGGGTTCATCATCATCATCTCCTCCCAGTGTCCTGCTCAGGCCAGGGCTCACCGGTCCCAGGGCTCCTCCGGCTGGTGCCATGCCAGGCTGGGAGGGTCTGAGCAGGGAGCGAAGCCTGGGAGTACCCCACAGATGGCGGGGCTCAGCATGTGGCAACATGCCTACTGGACCCCTCTTTTTCCACCCACGGGATGCTTCTTTACTACTGTCAGGGTGCAGCTTTCAGAAAGCTGGCTACCCACTACCAGCGGCCAAGAGTTTGAAGGCTTGGTGCCAGGCTGCTGGTGTCTTTCTGCACTTTGGGAAGTACAGCAGGATCCCTTAAATTAAAGGCCGTTGGTAGACAGTCTATTCTTCTAACTAGAAGCAACACAATTACATGGGATAATGACTAAATATGATGAAGAGAGAAACCCTGCTGCTCAGCTGAAAACCCCTCAATTAAAAACATATTACCAGGGGAATGATAATTTCACATGGTGATGACAATTTGAAACACAACATTCATTATAATCAAATGCTTGGTGCTTTGACACTTAATTCAAGTAGCACTTCACCACATCAGAGACAGAATTGGGCACTGATGAGAGAAGTTAAAGAGGAGATGACCAACACATACTCCCACATAAGGAATATCAGTCAACACCACCCAAGAAGAATTGAGAGATGGGTATTACATTATCCCCAAAATTCTTCCTGCTCACCCAAGAGCCTCTCAAACCCCACATTACCAACCCTGGGATCTTCACCGCCCCTTATTTCCACCCCAGGCCACCCCCAGCTCTCTGCCTCCTTTCCTTACCCCATCACCCTGTCAAACACCTCTCCTATCAGTCCTCTTCCCTACCTCCTATACACTCCCTTCTGCAGAGTTTATGAGTCCTGGCACAACTCCATGCTGCAGGGCATGAATAGACAGCACGAGCCACTGCCTTACACAAAACCAAGTTACCACCCATGAGCAGCTCTGCAGCATCTACCTCTGTATCCCTGTGGCACGTGTGGAAGAATCACCAACCCCACGCACAGAAGTAGATGCCTCTCACGTGCTGCAAAATAAGACCCTGCACGGATTGGTTTCTGCAAAGTAATAATAATCTGATGAGGAGGTAAATTGTATGAGAACATCAAAAGTGGAGGTCCTCAGTCATTCAGTGACTGCTTGGTGCAGTAGCAGGGGATGGTCACAGGTCTACCAGCACAGCCAGCAGCTGAAAGGTAGCCTGGGCCCTTCGGGGATTAGTTCCTTGCTACCAAGTACAGAAGAACTTCTGAGAACTGCTCCGTGCATGGGGATCAAAGTGCCCTTAAACAAACACTGCCAAAAGCCAACCAAGAAAAGCTGAAGAGGGGTGAGAGGAAATAGAGCCAGCACCTGGTTTCTCTCTCTTCATGCTGTATGATGAGGTTGCTGTAGAAGTTCTCCAGCGTAAGTTTGGCCACCGTCACTCTCTCCCGGGTGTGGTTACTCATGGGAAAGGATGTTGTAGTCCCTGCAGTCATCGCCATGGTAACATGTACTGAAACAGAGCATGTCAAATCATTACTCACTTGAAAAAAATAAAATTAAAAAAAAATATTCCTCTTCCCCACTCTCCATCTCCAAATTCTTAGACGCTATAGAATTCAGAGAAAAGGCACTGTTCTTTACATAGAAGGAACTCCATTAAAAAAACATTATGAAATTATCCCAAGATAGAAGGAGGACTTACTACCCACTCTCTGAAAAAATAACAACATGTTGGCAAAACAAAGGGTGAATCATAGCAAAGAATTATGTAGGCAGCTACCTAAATATCTGGGCAGCTCACCCAGCAGCACTTGTCCACAAATGAGGAAAACGTACCTCCGGCGGACTTGAGCCCAGCCTGGGGGCAGGAAGAGCGCGGAAAGGGAAAGGGGGAAGCGAGAGGAGGATCAGACAGCTCCCACAGCTGGACATGTCATAACTCTATGACAATTTCAGACTCCAGAAATTCTAGGTGCTACCAAAAGGACAGGATAAAATGAAAAAGTAAATGGACAAAAACCCTAATCCCATCCAGAGGAAAAGCTATTTCAAGGATAGAAAATAGCCATCAAATACCTTTGAATTTTAAGGCCACTCAAAGTTACATGTGTTGAGAGGATTTCTAGAAATATTAAAGTTAAATAATGTAATTGCTGTATTTTAAATGGAAAACTTCTGTTGCTGTTTTTTGTTTCATTGGGTTTTTTAAGCAACAACCAGCCACCAAGAATAGAAAACCCCTCCCCACCACAAGGCCATTAGGCAACCAGTCTTTCTGTTTGTTTGCTTTCCAACCACCTCTGTGCCATGCCACCAGTGAAATGAGCATTTTGTGGGGCGGCTGTTCATTACAGAGCTCCCTGTGTTTGGATTCTCAAATCTGGGGGGGAATCTTCTTATGCAGCTGCAAATACGTTACCATGAAGGTGAAGTACTTATAGGTCAGTGCACGTGGTCACTGAGCACTTGAAAACTGGGAAGTGGAAAGAAGAAAGGCTGCTCATTTTGACAGCTTTCATCTTGAACCCAAAGGACTTGGATGTACTAGAACAATGCTTTTAATGCCGGGAAAAGACAGCTTAGGGCAAGTCCTGAGTCCCTGGCAGCTGGTCTAGGGAAGCCAGGGGAGATTATAAAAAAAAAAAGGCACAGCCCAGTTTGTCCTAGGACTCCTGCCCTGCCTGGGAGTGGGTTGAGGTGCTTTAGGAGGGCCTCACAGAAGGAAGCCATGAACAGCAGCATCTCAGCCCCATGCTCATTTGTTCAGGTTGTTTTGGAAAATTACACGGAAGTACATACACTTCCTTTTGATTATTTACGTAACCCTTCTATTTCACCAGGGGATTTTGAGCAAGACAAATCCCAAATTAGGTTTATGATCTTCAAGCAGATCCTAATACCTTTTAAGGTGAACCGACTAAAAGTTTCATACAGAAGAAAACTTGTATGTCCACATCAGGACAGGAAGATTGCTTAACTCTGCTCTGGGTTTTTTGTTTTGGATTTGCCTGCTAGCCTCTGTGAGGACAGCATTTTATCTTGGGGATTTTTAATTGGATTTGGTGCGACAATAAGATATTTGTTGCCAGAAATGCAGCTGCTCTGTCACAAATAAAGGCGTTTTATAGCATTATGAAGATATTATTTTAGCTCTGTATTTTTGAGTGCGCAAGATGCCAGAGTTCTGAGTACAAAAATGTATCTGTCTATACATATACAAAGAGGTTTTAATAGCACTACAGCTGCTTTAAGATGATGTCAATATTTCTATTTTTTAATCAATCTTTTATCACCTTCCATTTTCTACTAAAGAAAGATAAAAGCTGTCAACTCTTAATAGTCTTTACTAAAAATTAAGGGGTTGTATTCTTCACACAAAGACGTACCCAATATGGGACACTTCTCCAAAAGCTGGGAGAACTCAGCACTGCTCTCTGTTCAGTCTGTTGGATATTTACACTCTCTTTCTCCCTTGATAGGTGAGAAAAGATAAATAAAACAGGTATCTGAGAGCAAAACCTACAGCATTTTGGCACACCCAAATCAAACAGAGCAACTACTGACCACACGCTGGCATCTGTGATTAAGTTATTTCAAGAAATGACGTAACAGAGTAAAAACCTGCCTTCTGATCATTATGGAGTGTCGGGATAGTGTAGCATTAACCCAGGCTTGAAATGGATTAACCTTTACTTAAGGTATAATGAGCACACCCTAGCACTGGCAAGCAACAGGATATTTATCCTTTGCACGTCTTTTATTCCTAGCAGGATAAAATAACACTGCAATTTTATTCCTGCTAATTTGTTTTCCCCGTGCTCCTATACTTACAAACGCAGACATTACCAAATAGCAAATCTAAGTCACTTGATTTTATTAAGCCTGTAAAAAGGAGATAACAATTCTGGCACTAGCACACCACACTATAAATAGCAGGGATGACCCGTACTGGGGTTCTACAGTAGGAAAATACAGACAAGAATGCAACCTGTAAAGTAGTGAGCTCAGAGAAAGCTATCTGCCAGAGAAGAAACTTGTACTGACTTCACCGTCATACCATGGTGTAAACCCAAAGTAGGAGGGATACAGCACCAGAAATGTTTGCTTCCAGCATCCTACGTATCCTGCACACACCCCACCAGCCCTGTCTCCGGACCACGCTATACCACAGCACAACATTTCCTTGAGACACAATGTACTTTACATTTGCACAGTTTGCAGTGGGTGTCCCCAGGTGTCCTCAGTTAGCTCCGTCACCGGGGGTCAGGGGGGAACAAAAACCAAAACCATACAAACTTTGTAAAACCAAGAAGTGCCCTAAGCTCTCCAGGTTCCCCAGAGTAAGCGGAGAGGTGCACAGACCAGGCAGGAGACACAAGGTACCCTGCAAAATCCTACAGCAACTCACAGCCGAGAAAACCTCTTCATCCTTTTTCCTCCCACCTCTCTGCTTCCACTAACAAAGTCCCAACCAAAGCACAAATCCACATCCCAAACAAAACAATCAGTTGGAGTAACCAAGTAAAGTCCTTAAGCATGAACCTCTATAAACAAATGATGCCAGAGGGGATGGGGGTGGGAAGGAAGAAGTTTCAAAATGGGGCCTTTTATTGACAGCAGAGTGTGACTGACCTCACCACATTAACGGGAATGTTTTGAAAAGGTGCCACCCATAGTTCTTGGAAATGCCCTCAAAAACCTATTAATTCACCCAAATTCATACCATTTGCATAATGGAACCATTCTACCCCTGCTGCATCACTGGCCTTGCATGAGGCTCCCTGGACCACAAAGAAGGTCATATTAAACCACTCAGCCTCATTTGGCCAAAGCTACTCTGGCCAACGAGAGCCAAAGACCTTTCTTTCCAAAGGCCCTGTTACTTCGGAAAAAAGGGATAGCACCACCGTCTGTGAATGAGAGAGACATCAAACAGATCTAATCGACAGGAGACACTGAGCAGCACACAGCCTGCAGGACAACGTCTCGGAGCTGCCAGCAGCAGAGACACCGTATGTGCTGCTTGGCCCAGAAACCCAGCCTGTGCCTCCTCCTGGTCGGAGAGCTGAACTCGCAGCGTGAGCCTTTCCCCTGACGCCCGCTCGGCTCAGCAGCAAGCACGGGGACGAGGAGCTACAGACGTGGGGTAACCCGGGAAAAATCTTGCCCCCAGAGGCAGGTGGAACAGCAGCAGAGTAGCAAGGAGCTGAAGGATGTTCTTGAAGGACGTTCCTGAAGGACAAGGGAAAGCAGGGTACAGCAGCAGAAAGGGGACAGCAGGCCCAATGCTAACAACCCAGAATTTCCAAGAGTCTGCTCTAAGCAAGCCTCTCCTGAACCACCATAGAATAGAATATTTCAGTTGGAAGGGACCTCTCCTTTCTGGTAGAAAAATGCTGCCTGGTCAAAGCATACATTTGATTTTTTTATTCCCAGATCTTTTCTGATTGGGAAGCAGGGAAAGGCCCATCAGTGTTTACTATAGCTGCCGTCTGCACTCCCATCTATCGCAACAGCTCTGAGTCAAACTCTCGATTGACTTTCCTGAAAGTTTCCACCATTGAAAACCCCACACCCAGCTTCTGCTACACAACTCAAAACACATGTCCTCTCTGGGGCACTTCATGGCAGCTCCCACAGTCTGTCATTAATGTTTTCGCATTAGACTACCAGATTAAGACTCCAGTTAATGAGAGCAAAATCACTGAGGCATCCAACCCCAGCTGCTACAACACAGAACAGAGATGGAAGAAATCAAGGCACCTGGAGAACTGTTCTCCCCTGAAAGAAACATCTGGCACTTTGTGGGATCACTTTCTAATCAAAATCCAAGCCTCTTGCACATCGTCTCCAGCCTCCGCAGCTCCAGCTCAGGGCATCCAGGCTGTGTGAAGGCAAGGGAGAACACAGAGCTGTCGCTTGGCAGGAAGGAAGGATTGAGGTTTGACACCCTCAATAACTTTAGAGCCCATTTCTACATATGCAGGCAGCTCTAGACTTTAAAAGAGAAAAGTATAGTGAGGGATGAAACAGGATCCAGACACAGATGTGCTACAAGATAAAGAAATTCGCTGTCTTACCCCATGACATACTTTCCAGCCTGTAAAATGGAGCAACAGGACAAGGATGTGGAGTAGACAGCATAATCATAACACTTCAGATCAGCAAACATTTGAGCTGTAGTGATGATGAAGATTCAAATATTTAACAGGAAAAAGAAAAAAACCACAACAGAACACACAACAGCCCCCCCCAAGCAGGTAAGTTCATACTTTCAGATCCTTCTAACGTATTCTTCCAACATTTCACATTTACTTTTTTAATCATTTCTCACTTCAGTAAGAACATAAATATGTGAGAGTATGCTACAAGCATATCCAGCTATCATCCATTAGAGGGTTTCACATTTCTCAGGATACTACAGTAACCTGTTTGATCAATACTTGCTTTCTCTTACACAGATTGCCAGCAAAAGAGGAAGTCTGTGCCAGTTACACAGTGCTGGGTATCACGACTGGGATTCACTTCTGTAAGAAGGGGTCTGAAGGTGACAGTCTCTTTACAGGCAAGTCTGCTGCACAACCGTTGTATCATATAGCTTGTTCTTACTATCAAATAAGGCTGGATCTATACTATCAAATTAAACTGGACCTAAGTAACACAATGGAAACATTATTCTTATTTTTGAAACCATGCGTGTAGTACAATTATACAGCAGCCCTAGCATAAATTACTTAGTGCATATTTAAGTTAGGGAGCAAAAATAACATACAATACTCTCGGAGAGAAAAGCACTTTTTTCCTGATGCGCAGAATGGTGCTACTTATGTCATGCTGTTGGATCTCCCATTCGGATTTAAAAATGTAATGCTACACACATGTTCACCAGGACAGGGAACACTAATCCTTCCTCTAAAACCAGCTATATCCCTTCACAGAAAGGCCGATAAGAATTCTCATTTATAGACCCAAGCATGCCCCAAACGCCCAGCAATTAGGAAGGCAGTTCACTATTGCAATAAAAAGGGTAAAACTGCAAAGTTTATAACATTTCCATTTACATTCTAAGGAATTTGGCTCTTGAATGAAAGCCTCCAAGTAAGGCAGATACTGAAACATATTTCTGCCTTTCAAATTTCTCATTTTCTCAGCATGATACACTTTTTCATTCAACTTGTTCCTGAAATGAAGTATACAAATGGCATTTATCAAGAATTAGAAGGGAGAAGAGAAAGGAGAGATTGGAAGAGGTCTGGCACCAAAAGCTTAAGTAAACACATAAAGCTTAATAAAACTAGTACCTTCAAGAAACACCGGCTATCACCGCTGTGCCTAGTGCTGGAGCTCTTCTGAGTAAGAAGCTAGAGAGGACTTAGTAATGCTGCTTGGCTCCTTACAGACAACGCAGCAAAGCAACTCACAAAACAGAGCACTAAAAACCACTGCTGACAAGGATTATATTTTTTCTAAAAAATGAAGTGCTATCTAGGAAAGCAGCATGGATACAGCAAGGCTTCAAGTATGAGAGCCAGCCCTGCAGTCTCCAAATTGTTTGGATTCTCTTAAAGGAAGACAGGAGAGAGAGATATATATGGGGGGTGGAGGGGTGGGGAAAAAACACTGCACACAAATAACAGCATGATTCACACCAAAAGGCAGTGGGCAGGGACAGATAAATTAAATAAGCAACCAAAGGCTCGGCAGGACGAGGTGGTGTGACATACCAGCAAGAGCAAGGGGAGGAGCAGCAGCTGGAGCAGCAGCGGCCCAGGCACCCGGAGCAACTTCTGAAACACGCAACTGTACATGGTATGAGCTGACACGCAAACAGAAAGCAAAGATAAAAATGTTGTATAACAGCTGATAGTTCCAAAGATGAAACAGAAGGAGAAAGTGGTCATACTGTGGTATCAGCCTGGAGGGAAAATGACTTTCTGCACTACAGTTTCTGCTAGCACAAATTTGGCAACTGCACTGTGCATGTTTTCACCATCCAATTGTTTATACCGAACCTCCTTCTGGAGAGGTTCCCTGCCTTCTTTTTCTATAACCCATTTTAAGTCCACTTCCAAAGCTTTTGAGAAACCTCCAGAAACAAAGAAAATACTACAGGATCCTGAAGTCTCCAAGCAGCAAGCAAACAAGGAAATCCCACTACTCCAATCTACGTCCATTATGGGCCAGTATTTTTCAACTCTTGGAGCCTGATCTTAATACTTGTATTGTTACTAAATATAGATTTCCATGTTCAGAACAGAGCCTTATCCAAAGTTCACTTATGTCAATAAAACCCCTCTTCAGCTCCATAAATTTTGACCAAATACTCCTATTCAGGCATCTGGACGATGCTAGCTGCACTACTGCTGTTACTGAAGCTCATAGTTATCAGATCAGCATGTTTGCCAAACACTGCTCTGGGGTATGTTTCAGAAAGAAAAATAAATATTACATTCCTACATAATTCATGTTTTCAGTAGTATCACCATTCACAAGTGCCTATTTTATTTAATATGCTACCTGAAGGAAGCAACATTCCCTGCTAAATAAAATAAATCAGATCCTTCACACGCAGATTCTTCTTCTTCAATGCTGTTGCCAAGACCAGATCTTTCTGACACCCTCCAGTTTTTACAACAGTCCCCATCTGAGAAGGGAAAATGAAATAACAAGACCACAACAAGACGTCACTGACACTTCAGCATTTCATTTACTTCATTTATATACTTCATTTCCTTTAGCTTGTTATTCATTCTCCAATGTGCCTAGTAAGTTTTGCTACTTTAAAGTTACATAATTAATTACATTTTGTTCTATTTAAAGTAGCACTAAGAAACCGAGTAAAATTAGCCCTATCCGAACAGGCTTTGCTATTTAAAAGCAAAAGATGTTTGAATGTTTTAGCCATTTTAAGTCATTCTCGCTTTCCCCACAGAGCGCCTGGGCGAGTCGCCTGTTATAGTCACAGCTAAAAGCAGAGCGCGCTCCATGACTCGCCCGGCCCCAGCTCGTAAACCAAAAAGAGCGGACGCTCCCAGTGCCCGACCCCCCTGACCGTGAGAAAACCTCGAGGAGACATTCACAGACACAAAGGAGTCGGGGATGGAAATGCCGCACAGGTCCCGCACCCTCCGCGCCTGCAGCACTGCTGGGACCGGCGGCACCAGGAACACCCGGGGCACGGAGAGGCCCAGAGAACAACTCGGGGTGTCAGCGGCTGGCTCCAACATGCCCCCTAAACTCCAGATGAGCTTTTCACCCAATGCACCCACGGAAAAGATGCTTTCTAAAATGAAGTTACTTGCCTACCTTGGGGTAGACTCCTAAACCTATAAATACCCCAAAATGTCAAGGAGGGGCTCTGAGTAGAGCAGGCAAAGAAACCCTCTGTAAGACACCAACCACCTCAGCAAAGGCTGCAGTTTTACGAACACCCTAAGTTGGCATCAGCCAGTACTGTTTCTGAAAGAAGATGTCCCGTTTTCCATCAAACCATCTGTTCGTTTCTCTCCCGCTGCCACCCGATGCTTTGCGCCAGCACGAGAAGCTGCGTAACCCAGATCGAGGAACTGCACCGAGCTGAAATGATTTCTTTTAAAATGGTTTTGGTGAGGCCAGTTTCACCTGCGTTGATTGAAAAGGGCCACCCTTCCCCAGGCTGAGCCTGTTCGTTCCTTCCCGTGGAGCTCATCCGAAAGCCAGAAGTAAGCGACAGCGCCTTGTCTTTTAATTTGGCTTACAGAAATTAATCTCACAAATCATTCCAACACACCCGCAGTAATGATAAGGAAATATTTCCTAATATGGAATAAAAACTGAATATTGGAGTTGTGCTGCACTCCAGGATTTCCTGCTATTCAACAAAGCCGAGCAGCAGAAGTCTCCCATGAACAGCGGCTGTGATTCAGTTCTCTGCTACTTTCAACGAGCAGCAAGCACAGCTGGCAAACACAAATTCATTTCCCTGACGGGAGAAGATACTGGCTGGGTAAAACTATGCATATATATACACAAAAATATATGTGTATATAAGTGTATATATAAACTAGATATACCTACACCTATATAAAATGCATGCATTTTGTTTTCTTCCTTTTAGAGTTAGTCTTTTGTCTACTTCAAATAGCAAAGAAACTTTTGGTCCAAACATCATAACCTTTGCTTTCACTAGCAATGGGAAACTGGTCACCTAAAGTTTAGAAACACAAGCCCACTAACAAGGTTACTTCCATCTTGGCTCCACTTGCCTCAACCTTTGGTGATACAATTACATTCTTTACACTCTACTATCAATAGTTCTGCCCCAAAGTTAAGAGTACATTTTGAGACAATCTGTACTTAGAACATTCACTCAATATTGAATGACTTGCAATGACATACCAAAATCTTTATGAGCTCAGTCCTTTCAAACAACTTATTTTCTTTACAGAAGGTCTTTTTAAGACAATCCAATGATTTGGGTTTTAGCAGTACCCACTCAAATTGCTTTATGGTGTGGGCACGTGGCTGCAAGATAGGACTCTCCCACCCACCCTGTTCATCTCATGTAGAGAGGGAGGAGAAGATAGAGAGATTTTGCTTCTGCTCCATCATTAAGGACAGAGGGATGGAGCTAGGAACAGGAAGGGAACAGTGGGGCTGGTGTATCCATACGCTGCTGTTTTCCAAGGAGTGCTCCAGATGGGAGGTCAGCTCAGGACAACACCCTGGGGGACTAAATTAAATACAAAACACAATGAAGGAACTAGACTTGCAGTCCCATGCAGCCATCCCTCTCTTCCAGGGTTTATTGTGGCATCCAAATTGATGCATTTTAATTTATTGGCAACAAGAGAAATCAATAGCTTGCTGTGCAGTGAAATGGCATTTCATAGCTTGCTTTAAGCTTACTTCTATCTTTCCTTTCTTCTGGCTTTCCCCAAGTTTCATAGTGCTGCAAATCTTTGTCCTCTCGGAAGTGTCTAGAAACAGGAAGCTCTTCTGTCTTACTGAAGTAGTTGCATTCCTGTGCACTTAAGCATTTTCTCAGCTTTTAGCAGGTACTTGCATACAGGCGTATTGAAGAAAACGTTGTTTTAAGATCTGCTAAATTAACTGGCATGCTAAATCTGCTTCCTCCTCTGTTATTGTTTTCTGGATAAAATTATACTCAGGTCTACAATGAAAGAGATGTCCCACTCAAACACATGTACAACCGTCTAAAAGTAAAATTCAGTCACAGTGGATTTGTCTACATCTGGCTCTTTCACAGCCAAGAGACAAAACTTAGAACAGAAATAGAGTAAGAGGAGGAGCCTCTAACATGGCATCTGCATAAAGCTTCCTTGAAATTGTAATACATTTTCAGTCTTGGTCTAAGAAAGTCTACTCTCAAATTTTAGGGATGCTGTAAAGCCTTTCTATTTTCAAAGGAGCCTAAGGAGGCAAGAGCAGAGGGAGGCTGTGCCTTTGGGAACTAGGATGGACTTTTGTATTGGAGAATACTGGAGGAAAAGAGGGGACTAAGTTTGTTTTTCTTTTTACTGGTGTATGTTTGAATCCCCGACTCATGCTAGGCTCTTTTTAGATCACATCAATTGAACTAAGTATAGTAATTACATATGATAAGTCTGTGCCAGCAAAGGACCTGACCGCTAAATGAGATGTAGAACATCAATGACCAGCTATGTCCTGTGCAATGCCTCTAGTCAGGGTTAATGAGCACAACAGATCCCTCTGGCCTTAAAAAGCTGCAAAGGCAGGTAGTGCATCTTGTTAGTATATGCAACACTGGAGAACAGATGTTTGCCCATTCAAATCCCACTACAACAGTTAATTTCTTTAACTATGATTTCTGGAGAAGCAGACAGCTGTTGGCACATAAAGCAGACTACCTTGATGAAGCCCAGGATACACAGAGATGAAAAGATGCGTGCGGTCTCTTGAAGTAAGAGACCACCTTCCTAGTGCCTGAAGCTGGGAAGCAGATTTGAAACAGTGGGGATGGAGCTGTGCCATACTCTTACCATCAAACCATGAGGAGCTCTGGCCATCAGTACCAAAGGTGGAGAAAGAAAAATTATTTCATGAAGGAACCATAATGGCAACATCTGATCCCTACAGTGATAACAAGGAAGACCAAACAGAGAAAGCATTACCATTCTGCCTTATTATCAGACTGTTTTAGGGGAGAACAGTCAATACAACTGTGTTTTTGCATTTCAACATTTATATCACTTTGAAAACATGTATATCGCTGTGTCACTTATATCACTTTGAGAACAAAGATACACTGCAAGTGAGTAGCTGGGGCTTACCCTTCTGAGATTTAGAGGTTTAGGTATAGAGAAAAACATCTCTTTTAGTGGCAGACTCACAGAGCCTTGCCTTCATGAAATCTGAGAGTCTTCCCACAGCCTATTGCTTAACACCCCAACTGCTGATCTCCTCTAGGGCTGAGGAGTGACCAGAGGAGTGCTTTGATGTGGCTATGTGTATATACACATGATCCCTCCCCTCACAATCACATATCCACCATTCTAGGAAGTTAAGAGAAAGGCAAGAAAGGAAAAAGAAATATAAGGTTTGTGCCTAGGTGAAAGATGATGAGGTTTGTGATGGACATGAGTTCCCTGTCAAAGGTCATTCTCCAGTCTTAGTCTGGGAAAGCTCACTCAAAATGGGTGGTGTTTTCCTTTAAATTTATTTGATTCTATTATCTGGTTTCCTAGTTAAAGGACAAGAGAGGCAAAAGCTGGGTGGACGCAAAAGCTCTGTCTATATCCAGCTGCAAGAGAAAGTGAGAGGGAAAAGGAACTGAGGATACCTGCTTATCTGCTTAAGTTTCTGTAAGATACTAAGGCTGTTTGTAGCTCTGTGCTACAGATAGACATGCAAGAATGGGCAAATTTCCAGATCAAAAGAATGTAAGTCTTAAAGAGCCCAGTTTCATATGCTTTCAAGATGAACTAGATTATGGCAAGAATAGGAGAACAAGACAACTTCTCTAGGAGCAAACCTTTCCCACCAAGAAAGCCTTCAGAACTTGAAGAAGCAGTCTTGCAGCATGTCCTGAGGGCTAAACACACTCTCGACTGAGAAAAGCACCAAGACTCATCAGTAAGAAGCACTCTTCGTGGAACACAGGTCACCTCATACAAAGGTACAGGCTTTACAGGAAAGTAGAAGGAAAAGCAATACTTCATGTTCCTGCAGAATGGCCCTCACTGTTCCTTTTCAAGGTGTAAGTCTTTGTTGCCTTGTAAGGTCAGTTAGTGTCATTGTGCCTCCATTTCTTTATCTGTCAAGCAGAGATGAAGACATGGAGTTACCTGTGGGAAATTTGAATAGAAATACTAGTTCAAGCAATGTGTAAAGATGGAGACTGGTGGAGTGGCAAATAAAGTCCAGGCAGCTATCTGAATTACTTGACAAGTTGGATACAACCAGCTATTTCCCATAAATAGTAACCAGAGAAAAACCCAAGTAAGTTGTAGGAAGAATGAGATCATTTCCACTTTTGAAATATTATTTAACATTAACATTTCCTTATGGGGATGGGCCCCATGCACAAGGTCCTTACACAGAAAGGAAAGACACTGCTGCCAAGTTCTGTTTCAAGAAAGAAACTCCCTCTCACTTTGGTGATCCTTCCAGTCCTGGCCATGC